ATGAGCAGCAGACAGCATGATTTGAAGAAGTACCATGGCACACCATGTTTAGTCTTATACTCTGCTTGCTTGCTTTTTTTTTTTTTTTATTTTTGAGACACTGTCTCATGTAAATTCACTATATATGCACTTGAGAGTGACCTTGAACTACTTGATCTCCTAATCTGCCCCGTAGGTGCTAGAACTATAGGTATGTACCACCAAGTCCAGCCAACAGTCTGCTTTATAAAACTTAAGGATCTGTATATCAGAAATTTCATGATAGTTGAAAGATTATAAAAATGTTAAGGGGAATGGCAATCCCCGCTCCTGGAAGGTGAAGGCAGGAGGGTTGCCATGAGTTTGAGGTTCAGCCAAAGCTATGTAACATGATTCTGTTTAAAGCCAAACCAAAATGACAGAAAACAGATGAAGCACACATATCCAATTTTGCCCACCTTAAATTTCCCAATAAACTCACCTCATAGTAAATAAAATTAAAGTTATGGATCACTAAAAACAAGGTTAGACATGGTAGCACACACCTGAAACTTTAGCTGTGAAAGGCAAAGGAAGGAGCATCAGGACTTTCAAGACCATCTTCAGCTACACAGTAAGTTCTAGACCAGTTTGGATTACATGAGACCTGGTCTCAAAAACAACAACAACAACAACAACAACAACCAAAAACCAAAAACAAAAACAAACAAACAAACAAACAAAAAAGACAGAGGGGTGGATCAAGAATACTTGATAACCAATCCAAGAGGCCCAGCATCCAAATAAAAGAAGTTGCAGAAATGAGAAACAGCAAATCATCTGATCTTCCTGCCTCTTCCTTCTGAGAGCTAAGACTAATTTTATATATCTCTATATGCACATGAAGGCCAGAGGTCAACATCAGAATTCTTCTTCTACTGCTCTTTTTATTATTTTTTACAGCAGGTTCTCTCAGTGGCCCCCATTACAATTTTCACCTACCCAGAGCTTTGGTTACAGAGCTACACCACACCACCTTACACAGGTGGTGGGGGATCCAAAGTCAGGTCCTCATGTTTGCACAACAGGTAATTTATCAACTGAACCATTTCCTTGGCTCCCAATTTTATTTTAACAAAACAGTGTTGTACTGTTCTTTATAGTGTACATGCAAATTTAACATATATTGCTAGTAAAAGTACTTTGCAATGACATAACAATATAAACAAGGAATACAGAAGAGAATTTTGGGAGACAGCTTGGTCAGTAAATACTTGACATGCAAGCATGAGCACTTGAGTTTAGAATCGCAGCACCTGTGTAAAAAGCAGAGCAAAAAGCACACACCTATACATGCATATATAGGCATACCTGGACAAATATACAGGGGGGGGGAGATAGAGAAGAGAGAGAAAGAAAGAGGGAGAAAGAGAGAGAGAGCGCACAGAAGAACATGAAAGGAAAGAAAGCAACAAGAAGGTAGGGTGGTGGCACACACTTGTAATCTCAGCAGAGGCAGGTGGATCTCTGTGAGTTCGAGGCCAGCTGGTCTTCAAAGTGAGTGGAGGACAGCCAGGACTGTCCACAGAGAAACCCTGTCTCAAAAAAATGGAAGAAAGAGAGAGGGAGAGAGGAAGGAAGGAAGGAAGGAAGGAAGGAAGGAAGGAAGGAAGGAAGGAAGGAAGGAAGGAAGGAAGAAGGAACGAAAGAAAGAAGTAAAAAAGAATAATCAGTCAGGATACTATAATGTGTAGGGAAAAAATCACTAAGATTTACTTACCATTTCATATGCTACTTCCTCAGGTGTATCTGTTTCTAAATTGAAACTGAATTCAATAGCTTCATTGTCTTTATGTTTGCCTTTTAATTTTTTAGGATCTTCAACCCAGAGTCTTAGAGCCAGGGATGAATTTGAGCAGTCATCTTCCTCTGCTAACTCCACTCTCAGTCCAGTATCCTCCACAAAGAATGCGTGGTTTAGTAGGTCTTTGATAGATAACCTAGTAAACAAAACACATATCTCATTATCAATTCTGCAGTCATAAGCAAAATATGATCCTTAAATAGTAAACATTAATTATATCAAAGTGAGAATCTTACTTTACATTTTCTATTAAGCCATTAATTGTTTTGTTATAAAACCTACACATTATAATAAATTTATTACTGGGAACAAAAAAAGTCAACTTACACGAATATAGCATGATCTTAAAGATTAATAACCAGTAATATACCTTCACAACAAAATGTAACACACATAAAAGTACACCTAGAGAGAATTGTTAATAGATTTATTAGCATCTCTTAAGCCACTGGCTTATATTACTATAAGACTAAAGCAATAAATATTCAACAAAGGAAACTCAAACTATCTCCTAGATATATAAACTCTAATGTGAATTGAAAAATCCAAACTCTTATAAATGTTTTAAACAGACATTACTCAACAAATATCCAGTCAGAAGGCCTGTGTGATGGCTCATTCCTGTATCACAGCATTTGCCAGCCTGTGCTACATAGTGAGTTCCAGAATAGTCTGGGCTATAGGATGAGACTGTTGTTTCAAAAAAACTTTTAAAAAAGACTAATTAATTAATCAGTGTATACTTCACTCTTTAGAGGAATGTCATAAGTAAGCTAACGTGCTTCAATGAAGAACAGTAGTTTCTTTTTTTTTTTAATTTGAGACTGTTTCACTATGTAGCTTTGGCTAACTTTGAACTTATTAAATAGAGCAGGCTGGCCTTGAAGACATATAGATCAGCCTGCCTCTACATCTCAAGTGCTGGATTTCAAAGGGTGCCCTACCATGTACTTTTTTTCCTTTTTCTTCTTCTTCTCTTTCTTTTCTTTGTTCTTTTTTTTAAGTGAACACAGTTCCACTATATACCCCAAGCTAGCCTCCAAATCTCAATGATCCTGTAATGATCTCCTGTGTGCTAGGATTTCAAGCATGCACAAGCATACTCAGCAACAATGGGTTTCCTGAAGTACTGGACTCTAATTTCAGACTATACTATATACATAATAGAACAACCCTAACTTAATATTAAAAGCTAATATTCTCATCTTCAAAGAGAAATTAGAAGATGTGGCTTCAAAGGATTCTTTTGCAAGCTAGGGAAAGTAACTTAAAATTTACTTTGCATAGTAAGCAAGTTAATTAATTAAAATTTTACTTTGCAAATTTTTAACATATGCATATTATAATTAATCTGTCTGTATCTATTGTGTCTATCTAGACAGCCCCTGCTGTAAAAGACATACAGACAGCATAGTGTCTGAAAAGTTAAGGACTTTTAAAGGTTTTTATTTTTATTAAAAAAAAAAAGATACAAGTATTAACTAAGAAAGTACGATTAAAACGACTCACTTATTAGTTTTAACACTAAAGTAAGATATGTTTAAGAAAAGATAGACAAGTTGAGCCCTTTGTCTCTCAATAAATTTTTACATATTTTAGTAAACAATAACAGCAGAAGAAAATATTGATTCCTACTATTGATAACATATCTCTGTTAAATATTTTAAATACATTATCTTTTTTTGGATTTTTTATTATTATTATTAATTACACTTTATTCACTTTGTACCCCCCCATAAGCCCCTCTCTCCTTCCCTCCCGATCCCACCCTTCCTCCCCTTTCTGTATGCATGCCCCTCCCCAAGTCCACTGATAGGGGAGGTCTTCCTCTCCTTCTTTCTGATCTTAGACTATCAGTTCTCATCAGGAGTGACTGCATTGTCATCTTCTGTGGCCTGGTAAGGCTGCTACCCCCTCAGGGGGAGGTGATCAAAGAGCAGGCCAATCAGATTATGTCAGAGGCAGTCCCTCTTCCCATTACTATGTAACCCAGTTGGAAACTGAACTGCCATGGGCTACATCTGTGCAGGGGTTCTAGGTTATCTCCATGAATAGTCCTTGGTTGGAGTATGAGTCTCTGGGAAGTTCCCTGTGTTCAAATTTTCTTGTTCTGTTGCTCTCCTTGTGGAGTTTCTGTCCTCTCCAGCTCTTACTATTTCCCACTTCTTACATAAAATTCCATTCACTAATAGGTAATATTTTGAAAATTCAAAAGATAATGTATTTACCTATTTTGAGGAATGAGTAACTTCAAGATGACATTAAATGTGCGTCTAGATTTTAATCTTACTGTGACCTTGAGGCCTGTGATTTTTCTAGCACAGTGTTATTTTGAGTACTGTTCTTTTTTTTAATTTTATTTTTTTCTTATCAGTTACATTTTATTAACTCTGTATCCCAGCCGTGTCCCGATCCCTCATTCCCTCCCAGTCCCTCCCTCCCTCCCTCATCTCCACCGTTCCCCTTGCCAAGTCCACTGATGGGGGGGACCTCCTCCCCATTCATCTGATCCTGTTTTATCAGGTATCTTCAGGACTGGCTGCAAAGCTCTCCTCTGTGGCCTAACAGGACTGCTCCTCCCTTGTGGGGTAGGGAGGCCAAAGAGCCAGTCATTGAGTTCCTTGAGTACTGTTCTTTAATCAGAGTGTAATTATAAGCAACAATCAAAATCTAAAATAAAACTATGAATTCAACACAAAATATTTAATGTTTTTATTACACTTTATTGGGGGGTAGGGGCAGATGCCATGGTTTATATGTGGAGGCCAGAGGACAATTTGTGTGACTTGGTTCTCTCCTTCTTTCATGTGGGCCCTGATCTCAAACTCAGGTTCCCAGGCTTGCTGAGCCATCTTGCTGGCTCCATACAATATTTTTAACTTCACTTTAAAAAACACATCTAGGGCTGGGTGTAATGCCACACACCTTTAATACCAGCACTTGTAAGTGCAGGTGGGTGGATCGCTGTGAGTTTGAGACAAGCCTGGTCTATGGAATGAGTCTGAGGACAGCTAGAGCTGTATAGTGAGCTATATAGAGAGAGCTATATATCTCAAAAAAGAAGAATAAAAAAAGAAACCAAACCAAACAAAAACATGTCTAGGGCTGCTGATACCATTCAGTGATACAGCACTTAACCACTACAGAAAATCACAACCCACCAAAAGGCAGAGTTGTGGAGCCCAGCCCCAAATGATACATCTACAACAAAACTCCTGCAAACTAAAGCTCAAAATTCATTATAAAGGAAGGGAGAGATTATAAGAACCAGAGGAACAGAAAGTATACTGTGAAATTGGGTCTCCTAGAAATGACAGGGAAGCTACACCCATGAATTTTTACCAACATAGTTGGCAAAATATGACCTGAACAAGGAAGACACCAATAGATATGCTAATGTGATAGGGGGAAAGCTCCCAAGGCCTCAACCTTCAAAATATTATTTTTAAAAGAGAAACTAGAACAGAGATTATCAGGGTCTGGAAGAAAGAATTCTGAATTATTAGTGGTTACACAGTTACAGTTTTGAATGAAGAAAATATATTGGGGATTGATACTGGTAATGGATGTATAGGAATATGAATATACTTGAAGTATGTTTCTAAAGGCACACTTAAAATGGCTAAAATAGTGCTGCAGAGATGGTTCAGCAGTTAACAACATTTGCTGCTCTTCCAGAGGACCTAGGTTTGATTCCCAGTACAGCTTACAACTGCATATGACTCCAGGTCCAGGGAATCTGACACCTCTTCTGGCCTTTGCACATATCTGCATGCATATAGTGCACATACATACACCCATACACCCACATACACATAATATTTTAAAAAAAACAATAAAAAATTTAAGCCAGTAATTATACATAGCTCAAAATAAAAGTAAAGCCAACACTAAAACAGTTATCTATAGAAAAATACAAATATTGATACAAATAAGTATAGAATACTCCTTGAAGAAAAATATCCATATTATTTTTACCATTACTGTTGGCACAAAGATATAAACCCAAATGTAATATATCTGCTTACTCTCAACTACTTCAACAAGCAATTTGTTACCTGCTTTATACCTTACTTTTTAATTTTGTTTTGTTTTTTCAAGGCAGGGTTTCTCTGTGTAGCCTTGGCTGTGCTAGACTCACTTTGTAGACCAGGCTGACCTCAAACTCACAGAGATCTTCCCGCCTCTGCCTTTCAAGCGCTGGGATTAAAGGCATATACTACCACCACCCAGCCATTAAAAATTTATTTCACCTCACTGTTAAGTTGATGGTGACGAAAGTTTGTCACAACAAACATAAATGTCAGTTCAAATTCAGCACATGATAGCAAGGTCTAAAATGTCAAATGGTATGCAGTGATATATATTACACCCATTATCCAGAATTAAAAATACACCCATCATTTATATAATGTTATAATTCCACCAACCTTTCAGATTTGTTTTGTCGAATACATCCTTCAATTATTTCTTTCACTTCAGGGTCTGTGACTTTATTGAAGCTGGCTGGTTTTATACCCTGGGAGAAGAAAATGGTTTCTTGTTAAAAAAAAAAAAAAAAAAAAAAACAAAGCTCAAATCAACACAGCATTTATTCCATGAGATCATCATACATATGAATTTATGTTATAAAATTTCAAGCAGAATCTCGCTACATAGCCCTGGCTGGCTTTGAAGTCTTTATTTCCTCAGTTCTCAGCCTGTGGGTCTCAGCTCCTTTGGGGGTTGCATATCAGCTACTGCATATCAGATATTTATATTATGATTCATAACAGTAGCAAAATTACAGTTATGAAATAGCAATGAAATAATTTTATGGTTGGGGGGGGTCACAACAGCATAAAGAACTGTATTAAAGGGTTACAGCATTTACAGCATTAAGAAGGTTGAGAAACACAGCTCTAAGTAGATTCACCTGGCTACGAACTCAGAAAATCTGGCTGTCTCTGCCTCCCAAGGGCTGAGAATACAGGCCTGTGCCACCACATCCAGACAAATTTAACTTTTTTAAATTAAGTTTTATTTCCTGGTCTGGGATGGAGGATCGTAGCATACATGTGGAAGTCAGAGAATAATTTGCTGGAGTAGATAAACAATCACCTTTCACCACATATTTCCCAGGGATTAAACTCAGGTTGTCAAGCTTAATGGAAAGTGACTTTACCAGCTGAGCCATCTCACCAGCCCAAGTTTAACTTTTTTTTTTTTTTTTCTGAGACAGGGTTTCTCTATGTAGCTTTGGCTGTCCGGGACTTACTTTGTAGACCAGGCTGGCCTTTAACTCACACAGACACACCTGCCTCTGCCTCCCTGAGTGCTGGAATTACAGGAGTGCACCACCATGCCCGGGTCCAAGTTTAACTTTTTAAAAGGATATTTTTATCACAACTCCACAAATAACTGAAAATTGTAAATAATTTACATTAACAACTGAGACAAACATATATATATATATATATACATATACATATACATATACATATACATATACATATACATATACATATACATATAGAGACTAAAAATACTATTGCAATTAATAATATGGGGAATTCTCACAATTTAATATGAAGTGATAGGGGAGAGAAGTAATATGCCAAGTATATATACATTATAATCATTACTAAGAAAACATAATAGAAGCTAAAAAGATGGCTCCGTGGTTAAGAACACTTGCTGCTCTTCTAGGGGACTCAAGTTTGATTACCAGAACCCATACTGAGTGGATCACAGCCACATGTTACTCCAGCTCCAGGAGATCTGATATCCTCTTCTGTCTTAAATACCCCCTTTTCAAAGTCCTTTCTTACTACTTAATCCCTTTTCAGCTGGTTTCTTGCTCCACCTCTTGACCTAGGGTTAACTTTATTAAATCCTGTGTACAGAAAGCTCTTGGATTAAAGGTGTGTGCTAGGGCTAAACCACACCATAATCCCCTGTTTACAATAAACAAGAAGTTCTTGGATTAGGGGTGTCTGTTAGAGTTGAACCACACCAAACAAAAGACATGTTTGTTTGTTTGTTTGTTTGTTTGTTTGTTTTTTCACAATCTCGGGGTTCACAATGGGATCAAGTATCCTGCAACAGTTGCCATTGCTTAAGTAAATAACACCCTACCCATGGTCATGCAAGGAACTCAAATTAAATGCAGTGGAGTACAAAAGAAAAGGACATGAAAGTAAAAGGGGATTCGGGAAGGGGTTTAATCTTAATTAGATGAGAGAGAATAATGGGGTAAATAACATCAAAGTACATTAATATGTTATGACACTATGAAAGAATATATGCATCAAATTGTAAATGAACAAATAAAATTTTAGAAGAAATAAAAATGGTTAATAAATACAACAGATATCAAAGCAGAAGAAATATTGGGAGAAGAAAGGTACAGTGTGAAAGTTGGACATGGTGTGAAAAGTAGGAGAGAAGGGGAGGGAAATCAACAATATACATGAAAATGCCATAAAGGTACTTACTCCATTTTAAGTTAAAAATAAAACAAGATAAAAATGAAACAAAGAATAAACAACAATTTCCAAAAGTTGGCCATAAAGGTATCTTTCAACTCTCATCAGAGAAGCCTGTTTGCAATAGAAGATGATCAACACAGAACTCCACAGCTGGCCCAGGTGTAGAGAATAAGAGACTGTTCAGCTCTAAATGGGACCTCTATATCACAATCCCTCTTCATTAGGCTCAAGGATCTTTGAGAAAGAGGAGACAGAAGATCCAAAGGCCCTGGATGACTACAAGGAAACGGTGTCTTCTGGAAACAGGAAGGAAGCTACACATAAAATTCACAGTGGTTCTGACAGCAAGCACAAGACCTGGACAAGCCTAAGCAAGTCCAAATCTAAGCAATAGAGAGGTTAGTTAGGCATAGAGATTCATGCCTAAATGAGTAGCTACTGGAAATTCTTAACAGCTAATAGAGGATGGATCAGTTTTCTCTAACAGTATAGCTTCTGATTAGTTGACCATGCTTCAGTGGATGCATCCAAAAATATATGGTTAGCACAAAAATGCCTTGTGGGAGGGCGCAACAGGACATGTATATAATAGGAAAAGGAGGATGGATCGGAGAAGAGTTGGGGGAGGGAAGGTGAATATGATCAAAATATACTACATGATAGTCTCAAAGAACTAATTAAAAGTAAGCAAAACAAAAGAAATGAAAATGAATGCTGGCAAAACTGTGGAAAACTTATTCATTGCTGGTAGGAATATAATATATTGCAACCATTTTGTAAATCAGTATGGAGGCTCCTCAAAAAACTAAAAATAGAACTACCACATCACTGAGCTATACTGTTCTGGTGTATATATGCAAAGGACTCTTCTGTCAAAAGACCACAGAGATAATTATACAACTGTGTTTATTGATAAACAATCTACAACAGCTAAGAAATGAAACAGTCTCAATGTTTATCCAAATATACTTATATAATGAAAGTATGGTACATATATACAATTTTATTGAGCTGTAAAGAATAATGAAATCAGCATTTGCATGAAAATGGATGAAACTGGAAATTATTATGTTAAGCAAATAAGCCAAAATGCATGTTTTCTACCATAATTGGAATCTTAATGTCTGTCTCTCTGTCTGTGCATGTGTGTGTATTGTGTATGTCTCTGTGTGAGGGTAGGGAGAAACTGGGCCATGAAAAGGGAAGGAGAAAATGAGGAATAATGGAATACATTTGATATAAAAGCAGAGGGTGGATTATTAGTTGGAATAGAAGACAAGCAAGATGTAGGCAGAAAAGATAGGACAGGGCAGTGAGAGAGAAGGAGGAATAAAAACAAATTAAAATGTTGCATACATATGAAAAAGGTCAAAAAGGTAACTATTAATTTATATGCACACTTTAAAATTAAAAAGACATACATGCGGTCTAGACAATGTACAATTTTCCTGTAAAAAAGCATGCTATTTACCTGAATCTGCTTATTTTACATTTTACTATGTATTTTTTATAAGGCTTGGGCTTACAAAAATAATGCAAGTATTGCTGCAGTCATTAAATAGAAAATTACAAATCAAGCTAGAAGTAGAATAATTGCCATGGACTGAGACAACCTAAGATCTACTTCTACACCTATCATCCTACCTTAACGAAAACAGAACCACAAAGTCTTGTTATCATATACTAGATAAATTTGGGAATATTGGGAGTCAATTTGGATCCAAAATTCAAAAAGCTTTAAGAGAGGTGGAAATGTAAATTATGATATGGTGTTTTTATATGTCAATATAAAAATAATAGTCACTCAAAATCACAGTTACGCTAAGGGTATGGATCAGTGGTAGACCACACATATAACATTCATTAGGCCTTTGATTTGATCCCCAGAATCACAAAAAAAGATATATTTTGCACAGCACTTGAAAGGTTAAGATAGAGTTCAAAGCCAGCCTCAGTGATACAATGAGACCCTATCAATTTTATTTTATTCACAGAAATAGTCTTTTATGATCTTTACACTGACATCGCCCTGATTTCCTTGGTAATTTATACCTCTATAAGTGAAAACAATTAAAGAACTATAACTTACAAATCAAGCACAAAATACTTTTCTACTTGGGGTTTTTTAAATTAAGGACACAAATTAACAGAGTACTGTAGCCCTTTTTCTGAGCTCTTATCAGAGGCTGGGAAGAAATTAGGAACTGTTACTTAATGGGTATAAGTTTTAATTAAGCAGCAGGAATAAGTTTTGAAATATACTCAACAGTACATTGATTACAGTCAATAATACACAGCACATTATAAAGTAATTAAAAAGAAAAATTTAGGTGTCTCACCACAAAAATGATAAGCAAGTGAACTGACAGGTAAACTAACTTAATTTTATATTTCATATATCACATTGTATTCCATAAATGAAAATAACTGTCATTTGTCTATTTTAAATAATATAAATTTTAAAGGATTAAAATGTGCCTATTATTATTAGCTTTGTGAAACACTAACAATCTCTTTCATGGTCTATCTCTAGCCCCCCCCCACCGCTAGATATGAAGTAGTCTACCCTAAACAATGAAAACATTCTAATTCCACCTTGTATCCATTACTATATTGCTATCCTCTTATTTTATACTACATTTTTTTTCTGATTTTCAGGATTGGATTTCATTATGTAGCCCAGAGTGACCTCAAACTTACAACCTTCTTTCCTCAGCCACCCAAATGCTGGGGTTACAGGTGTACACCACCATGTCTTAGTAGTTATTTCTTAATTTATGTTATTCTCTTACTAGAAATGCAAGCTCTCTGAGAGTACAAACACTTCTTGTCATAGCAGTCCTTACAATTTCTAACATAATTATTCACAGTAGGGATTCACACTTCACCTCAAAAATTTTATATTGGCTATTCTTTCATAATTGGGCACTTAGAAGTATTATTAGTCCTTCAAACTATTCTAGTCAGTCTTTATTTTCTAACCTTAAAAACTAAGACCAGTCAAGTCAGGTGTAGTGGCGCACACCTTTAATCCTAGGGCTTGGAAGGTAGAGGCAGGCAGATCTTTGTGAGTTAAAAAGTCCAGCCTAGTCTACATAGTGAGTTCTAGGACAGCCAGAAGTATACAGTGAGACCTTGTTTCAGAAAAACAAAAACAAAACAAAATTAAAACCAATCTAATATCTACAGTTTTACTACAAATAAAGATATACCTGTATTTTTCTAAAACATAATAGAGTAATTTTATATGATCCCAATAGAGTTCAAGTACACAAAAAAAACTTAATAAATCTAAAGCTTTCCTAAGTATAACTGTTAAACTAATATTATTATATAAAACTAAACCATAATGGTGGGGTGGGTATTTTCTCTTTTCTCCCACTAGAGTCTTGTGTATACTGGATAATACCACTAAAGCACAACCTTTGTCCCATAATTAAATTTGACTAAATCAATTTTAGTAATTTCAACACAAAAATGTGGCAAGCTGTCAAGTAAAATGAATAAAATTATACCTACACTGGTTACTTTCCGGTATATTTGAGCTGCATTCTGGCACTCGGAATATGGATACTCCGAAGTAGCCATTTCCAACATACACATCCCAAAAGCATAAACATCTACAGATTCATCATAGTGTTCTTCATACATCTCTGGAGCCATAAACTCAGGAGTACCTACAAAATGATACCACAACCATATTTTTATTAAAGAGAAAATATATTTGTCAAGATTCTCTTTCCCATAAAGACTATATGTTCATTTCTGCCCCCTCAAAGCAAATCTGTAAATCAAGCCAGGAATAGTGGTGGACGTATGTAGTCCCAGCACTTGGGAAACAGAGGTAAGCTGTTCTCTTTGAGTTTGAGGCCAGCCTGATCTACAGAGCGAGTTACAGGACAGCCAGAACTGTGTAGAGAGAACCTGTCTCAAAGAAAGCAAATTTAATTATTTTGTATTGATAAAATACTACAATTTTAAACATTCAAGATTAGGTTAAGATGTTAAAAGTGTTAACAATGATGGTTCACACTTCTAATCCTACTACTTGCAAGGTAACATGCAAGAAGGTCAGAATTTTAAGGCTGTTTTCAGCTATATAGTATGTTCAAGGTCAGCCTGGTCTATAATTAAGTTCTGTCTCAAGAAAAGGCCAGGCAGTATGGTGCATTCCTTTGATACCAGCACTTAGGACACAGAGGCAGGAGGATCTCTGAGTTTGAGACCAGCCTAGTGTTCAGGTCAGCCAGAATTAAATTATACAGAAACCTGTCTTTTATATATTACTTTTTAGTTCAAATTTAGATAAATTAATTTCGTAAACTTTGTTCCTTAAGTCCTCAGAATCTTTAAATAATCTTTACTAGATGGGTCTGGAGAGATAGTTCAGGGGTTAAGAAGACTTGTGGCTCTTGTGGAGGACCCAGGTTCAGTTCTAGCACCCACAAAATGGCTCACACCTGTTTGTAACTCCAGCTCCAATGGCTCCAACACCATCTTCTGAACCCTGTGGGTACTGCATAAAGGTAGTGCAGTGCCCACATGCAGGCAAAACACCCATACATGTAAAATAAAGAAATTTAAAAAAATAAATAGTTCTTAATACATTCTATAAAATATACACACTAGGATGTAGTAAAAAAAAGTCAATTTTCATATAACTGGTATTTCAAAGCACAGTCACAATTATTTCAAAGCAAATTAACAGTGTGCTGAGTATGCTGGCTGGGTCCTAAAATCCTAAGACTGAGGAAACAAAGCCAGGAGGATTAAGAGTTCAAGGCCTTCTACTACATAGTGAATTTAATGCCAGTCCAAGTTACATAAGACTTTGTCTCAATAAAATGTGTGTGTGTGTGTGTGCGTGAGAGAGAGAGAGAGAGAGAGAGAGAGAGAGAGAATAAAAAACAGGCAGTGGCCAAAATTTTGCTCAAGACTATAGTTGACTCATCATTTCTGTTCCAGTCCTATACAACTGACAGTAAATTGTAAAATACTAGTCACCAATGACACTCTTAGCAAATGATGTGCGCATTAAGGTTGCAAGTCCCAGATCACCAATCTTCACAGATCCAGTGGGTCCTGTGATGAAAATGTTGTCACATTTCAGATCCCGGTGAATTATAGGAGGGGTCCTTGTGTGTAAGAACTGTAATCCTTTTAAAATTTGCCTGCACCAGCTTCTTAAGACCTTTGGTTTCATGACTTTAAATCGTTTTAAGTACCTATACAAAGAAATAAAGATCATGTGTAAACAAGCATTCCCAAATTATTCCATAAATACCACAATGAATGAGCTGTTCTGCTTACTATGATTGCTATCCATGAATAATTTTTAAGGTTCATTTTTATTTATGTATTTGTTAATGTGCACGTACATGCAAATGCCAGTGGAGGCCAGAAAAGGAAACTGGACCCCCTGAAACTGGAATTACAGACAGTTGTGAGCTGCCCAATGTGGATACCAGGACTTGAACTCCTGTCCTCTGCAAGAGCATCAGGTGCTCTTAACCATTCTGTCATTTCTCTAGCCCTCAAATTACTTTCTACTGTCTGCTGTAGAAAAATAAAAATCTATCCAAAATCCCATTCTTATCTAATCTTTCAGCGACTTACTATCACTTGAGTTTCCCATCCCAGCCAAGCACAGTGGCACACAGCTGTAATCCCAGCACTCAGGTAGGCAGAGACAGGCAGATCTCTGTGAATTCAAGGCTAACCTGGCCTACAAAGTGAGTCCAGGACAGCCAAGGCTACAGAGAGACCCTGTTTCAGAAAAACAAAGCAAAGCAAAACAAAACAAAACAAAACAAAAAAAGTTTCCCATCCAACCTCACAGTCACTCAAAAAAACGGTTTGACCTACTCTAGAAGATATTCTACAATGTCTAACATTTGTAATTCAAAGTAATAATCATGCTATAGTGACTTTTTTTAATGAAAGCACCATTTTAAAAAGAAAGCCCTTCTCTACTTCTAAATAATTACTTACCCAGTCACTGGAGAGCTTGGCTACATAAAATTTTAGTGTAAAATGCTAAGAAACATATACACTTCACAATTAATTATTTACAAGTGATTATACAGTCAATTCATACCAAATTAAAAAAAATTGATTTCAAACAAAGGACTATAATTATGTAGTAGTTACTCCTTACTAGGTATGTAAGCTTGGCCAAACTCTCAGCAAGTCATTACCTTTTCAAAATGCAATTATACTCTCTCTATAATAATTTTCAACTCTCAAATTCTATGAGATCTCTAAATCATTAACTTTTGCGGGTTTTTAGAGTTGTTTATTTTATAAGTATGAGTGTCTGCCTGCATGCATATATGTGTATTAAGTGAGTACCAGGTACTCACTGATGTCAGAAGAGGGCATTGGATTCGCTGGAACTAGTTATAGATGGTTGTGAAGCATCTATAACATTAGTGGTAGGAGCCTCTCTGCAGGAGCAACAAGTGCTCTTAATTTCTGAGCCATCTCTCTAACTCATTTTTTGTGTTTTTGAGGGATGATCTCATGTAGTTCAGGCTGTCCCTGAACTCACCATGTAACCAAGAATGACCCTGACCTCCTGATTCTGTCTCTGCCCTACCACCCAATGCTGAGATTAAAGGTGGGTGCCACTGTTCTACTTTTACATGGTGTGAGAAATGAACCCATAACTTCATGCATACTAGGCAAGTATTTAACCAATTGACCTTCATCCCTAGGTCCCCAAACATTAACTTTTCAGCACTGCATATTCTAATAAACTTCATTAATATGCTGATTTTTCAATCAATCTGAAATAGATTCTATAAATTCTTTTCTTCTTGTTGTCATAATACTAGGATTGGAACCTAAGGCCTTGCACATACTAAGTAAGTGCTATTTCACTGTGCTATAGTCCCAGGCCTTCTACAAAACTATAAGCCAAAAGTTTATAAATAACTTTGACTCTTTAAAATAATTTCCATATCAACTGGTACTGTCAGAGTCAACTTACGTCTTTAAGGTTCCTGATGTCATTAGTTCAGTCACTAACACAATACATTTCTTTCCTTTTAATATGGACTCCCAGGAATCATAAAACCGAACTATGTTGGGATGCTGGAGGCCTTTTAACATCTCTGCTTCTTCTTTGAACCGTTGCTGCTCAGCTTTAGTTAATTTGCGGTCCTAAAGTGAAAGAAAAAGTTCCAAAGTAAGACCACAGAAATTTCCACACACATTTCTAATAGCTCAACTGCGTGTTTTACTGTATACCTATCATTTTTTTTTCAGTATCTATAGAATCACTGGTATACTCCAGTAATGGCAGCACTCATATACTCAGTGGAGGGAAAACACCGAGTTGAGTACTAATGGGGAGATGGAGGAGAAACCAGAGTGGAGGAAGGGAAAAGGAGTAGACATAGATAAAAACATATGATGTACATCTACAAAATTCCCTAACACACACACACATACCATGGACATTTGGAAATGTTATGATGAAACCTTACTTTGTACAAGTAATATGAAAAATCCCTACAATATTTCAAAAAAATTAATGTAACTGAATAAATTCATTAGAAAGTAAATTGTTAGATGTGGTGGTAGTATGTGACCAAGTTTGGCCTTGAACTCATAATCTAACCTCTGCTTTTCAAGTTTTGGGATACGGGTGTGCAATCACCTACCTGGCCAACATTGAACTTTTAAATCACGAACTCATTGCTTTATCTGCAATATTTCATGAAGAAGGTTAAGAGTTGTGCTAGCACTGTGTAAACTAATGTTTACTTTGACTTGAAGAACACAGTTGTCCTTTAAAAAGTACATAGTATTGTACATGCCTATAAATTCAGCACTCAGGAAGCTGAGGCAGGAGAAACAAGAATTAGAAAACACCCTGAGTTACATGGTGTGACTGCCTCAAACAAACTTATGAGTATATAGTACTGTATATAGCATATAGCATTATATGTCCATCTATACTACATTCTACTTTCTTCCACCAATGTATTCCCATGCCAGTTACCAAACTGTTTGAATACAAGTGGATCCCAACATGGAAATCATGTACTCTTATTTTCTTCACTGTTCTTATTTATGTCCCACATAAACATTAAGTTCACCTTTCTACTTAAAATTTAAATCTGTTAGGATGCTAATTAGAATATTACTAAGTACATATGCTAATCTTGAAATATCTGGCATCTGCAAGTCATTTAAATAAGACTAACGCAATGATGGCATGTGTACCCATAGTTATAGCAACTATGGTGGCTAAAAAACAAAGAGAAAAAATAAAAATAAAGCCATTTAAGAATAACATATGATATAGAAGATTATATATATCCAACTGTTCAAAGCTTCATTAAGATTTAGATGAGGTGAAACTGATACTCTCTTGGCTTCCTTTTGTTTATGTTTTTTTGTTCTGTTTTTAAACAACATGCTTATTTTTGCAATTACATTTTAGTGAAATTGACCCTTTTGGTGTACCGTTCCATGATTTTCAACAAATATATAGTCATAATCACTACCACAACTAAAAGAGACAACAGTTCCATCACTCCCAAAATACTCTTATGCTGTTTCTTTATATTCAAACATCTGTTTACTTATTTTCTTTCTAATGTTAAAGAATCTTGCAAAGTTAAAGATTTAGAGACCTGCCCAATCTGTAGACTAAAACTTAACCAGCCTACCAGTCTTCCATCTTTCCTTATACTTTTGAGAAATCAGAACTAAGCAAGAAGGTCAGCAGTTCTTCCAGTGAATTATAGATTAAACTCCTATGCTTCCCCTTCATATGTTGAAGCTGAAACCTGACAACTTTGAGGAGTCAGTTTGCTCCTTACAATCTCCTTTGGAGATTGAACTCAATTGATCAGGCTTGCATAGCAAATACTTGTACATTCTTGAACCATCTTGCCTGTCCAAGATATGTGGGACAATATCAACCCTAAAAATATTATGCTAAGTGAAATAAACAAAAGAACAAATATTGTTCACAATATTTGTGAACAATAGACACAAAAGAACAAATATTGTCCATTTTATTACTATGCAATATCTAAAATGGGCAAATTCAAAACATAAAGTAAAGCAAGTAAATGCTGAGTGTACAAGATAAACAGAAGCAAATAAAGTATTGTATTCCTCTATCTATCCTAAGCTGATTAATATGTTCGAAATGGTTCTGTAATTACACAGCTATCATAAATACCTGAAAGATCAAATCATTGTTAAGATCAAGAAATACATTTTAAGTCTCCTAATTAAATTTGTAGAATATAAGTATTTCTTATGACAAAATCAATTACTCTACTTCATCTTTTGTTCCTAAATATCAAAGGTAATCACAATTAGGAGTAAACAACTTGGGATGAAGAGATGGCTCAAAGGTTAAGAGCACTATCTGCTCTACCAGAGATCCTGAGTTCAATTCCCAGCAACCACATGGTGGCTCACAACCATCTATACTGAGATCTGATGCCCTCTTCTGGCATGCAGGTGTACATGCAGAGGAGCACTCAAATATTTTTATAAAAAAAATCAACATTTTTCTAAAATTATAACTGCTGTTCCAGACACATTACTAGAGGGAAAGTCCACTAAAAAGGCAGGGTCAATACCTTTAAATTTCTACTTCTGATTGAGGGGGGAGAAAATAAGTCTGTTTAAAAAGCATCAAAATCCAGAGCAAAGTACTTACAATGGAGCTTTCAGCTACCACTGTAATCCTCCTTTCACCATGCAGAGACACAGACACTACTATATTAACGGTAATGATTTTGACAGAATAACTTAGACCCAAAAATGAAAAATGATGACAGTTCTTGGTGCAAGAAAGTAGAGTAGTAATAGCTAATGGAGTTAGCATACAGCCATTAAAATGCTAATCTAAAGCCTGGTATGGTAATTTACGCACACACCAGCACCAGGAAATTTAGGGAAGAGAATTTTAATTCTGACCTCAGCCAGGGGTACACAGAGAGATTTTATCTCAAAAAAAAAAAAATATCTAGCCTATGGAAATAAGAGAACTGGAATCAGTCGGAGTTATCTCTGGGACAGGCTAGAAATCTAGGACAATGGAAAATCAGGAATCTATGAGGGCGACCCAAGCTTAGATTCTTAGCAACAGGGACATATGGAACATGAAACAGTTATCTCCTCTAACTAGCAAGACTTTCAATGGAGGAATGGGGATACCAACCCAGCCACAAAGCCCTTGACCTACAAATTTTCTTGCCTATAAAAGGTGCAGGGAGCCAGGTGCAGTGGCACACACCTGTAATCCCAGCACTCAGGGAGGCAGAGGCAGGCAGAACTCTGTAAGTTAAAAGGCCAGCCTGATCTACAAAAGAAATCCAGGACAGCTAAGGCTTCACTGAGAAACCCTGTCTTGAAAAACCAAAATAAATTTTAAAAAGACCTACTCTGGATGTAGATTCACCATCCCTTCAGCTGGGGTATAGACCAGATAAAAAAAGGAAAAAAGTGAAAGCCAGCTGAGAATCAGTTGTGCTCCATTTCTCTGCTTCCTAATCTGTCTCCCAGCACAACGCACAGGAGATGGTCCCACAACTATACTTTCCTCATCCCATGAGTCACCTCCAAAATTAGAAACATTTCTTTTCTAGGATGTAAAGCATGATCTTATTACCTCATGCTCTTAACGTAAACATCAACAATAATCTACAAAACTATATCAGCGGCTACATGAATCTGTTTCTAGAAATGTAAAGGAAAGGATAATGATATAAAAACTATATAGAATAACTTGTTCAGGTACAAATAAATAGTACAAAGGTTTCAAAATGATACTTACCTATGAAATATCCCATCACTACTTTTTTAATGTAATTTTTATACGATAGGCTGGGCACAAACCCATTATGTAGCCTCCAGTTCATAATTGATAAAAATCTTATCAATAACTGTTCCTGAACATGAGTGCCTTCAGCATTTTAACACTATTGCTTACTAAATACTCAAACATGTCCATTATCTCTGTTTTATTTCTTAGGCTGAGTAGTAGATCTTCATTTTATATTGTGTTGCTAAATCTTCTTTCTCTCTTCAGTGCTGAGAATTGAACCTAGAAACTTAAAAATATGAGGGAAGTCCTCTACTACCATACTTAGAGCTATACTCAAAGCGCTAATATTTTTAATACATCTAAAATATTAAAAATTTAAATATATGAGGGGCTAGAGAGATGGCTCAGTGGTTAAGAGCACTGGCTGCTCTTCCAAAGGACCTGGGTTCAGTACTCAGCACCCACATGGCAGCTCACAATTGTCTGTAACCCCGATTCCAAGGAATCTGACACCTTCACACTAATGCACATAAAATAAAAATTAAATAAAGTATTTTTAAAATTTAAATATATGAAGCCAGACGCAGTGGTGCAAGCCTGTAATCCCAGCACTCTGGGAGGCAGAGTCAGGTGAATCTTTGTGAGTTCAAAGCCAGCTTGGTTTACAAAGGGAATCTAGGAATCCAGCCAAGTCTACACAGACAAACCCTGTCTCAAAAAATAAAACAAAATTAAATATATATATAAAACACTAAATAAACTTAGATGGTTGCATTTACATATTTATTCACATATATGTGTAACAAGAATAATAATAAAAAAAAATAAGAGGCCATGAATTTGACAAGGAAGGAGGAAATGGGAGGAGTAGAAGGGAAAGGGAAATATGTAATTACATTTTAACAAAAATTTTTAGAACAACAAAATAAAAGAGAGGAAAAAAAGAAGCTTGGTTAAAGAAAGGAAAAGGAGGGAGAGGGAATGAGAAGAGGGAGGGAAGTAGAGCAGAGGGAAAAGGAAAGAGAGAGTAAGAGAAGGAGAGAGGGAAAAAAGAGGAGAAAGGAGGGGAATGGAAGGGAGGATGGGGTATAGTTCAGTAGTAGAACATGTGCATGGCTCTGGGTTCCATACCCAAGCAACAAGAATAACAAAATAATATTGTTCAAATAACCAATGAGAAGCAAATTTTGTTTTTGTTTGTTGAGAAAGGGTCTCACTATGTAACTCTGGCTGACCTGAAGCTAACTATGTAAACCAGGTTTCCCTCGAACTCAAGGATCTGACTGTCCCTGTCAGTGCTGGGATTTACGGTGTGTGCCACCACTGCCTGGCTATTTTGATGTACACACATAAAACCATAAATGATGGAATACCCTCTTTGATCAGGTTACTTAGTGTGCCTAAAACTCAGATCTGCTATCTGAAAATAATAATCTTTATCTCATATAATTACTGCCAAAATTAAATAAAATAGTAAGCACTTACATAAATATTCAATTAGGTTTTAATTTTATGATAAATGGAAAGTATGCAATACGCATTGTTACTAGCTATACTAAAACAATTCAACTACAAATTCTTCTATTATTAAATTTTCAGAAATTTAACAGACATATTAGGGAAAGACCACACCAAGCTAAGAGGTAGTATCAATTGATAAAAGCAGAAAGTAGAAAATAGAAAGTTGCCATTTTAGACAGTAGGATTACAAGTTCAAGGATAGCTTGGGCCAGCAAGTTTCAACAAGTCTCACAAACAGAACAAAATAATTATAGTTATACTGTATATTACCCATGTAAAAACACCAAAGTGTACCAAAATCTACCTGAAATGTATTTCACAGTGTCCAAGTATATACTCCTAAAATATTTACTAATCTAGAAAGGAGAAAAGAGTAACTTTATAGTAGGAACAGTCTGACAGATAATACTGTAGACAAATGGTCAAGATTACCTTCTCATTAACATATATCAGCAGCAGACTGAGTAGAGGGGCATCACTTTTGTGGTATTCTTGACAAAAAATGCAGAGCTTAGCTAGCCAGTCACGACAGTGCATTCTGTAATACCAGTATTTAAAAAGCAGAAGCAGAAGGATTTTAGATGTGTGGTCAATCTAGTTTATTTAATGAGTTCTTGGTCTTTGTAGGCTATATAGAGAGACCTCATCTCAGAAAGAAAGACAGAGGGGCCTGGAGAGGGAAACTGCTAATACTCTTCAAAAGTTCAAGGAAAAAACTAGAAAAAAAAAAAAAAGAGGAAAAGAGAACATACAAAGTAAACACAGTATAGAAACATGGATGTGGTCAAAGAACTGAAAAGAGGAGTATTCATGGGGAAACCAATATATTCTGGTTAAGTTCAATATTTTCGTTTATATCTTTGTAACCCTTTTGCAAGCAGAAAATCACCTGAAAATAAGTTTAAAAAGAAATCGAGTTAGTAAAGAAGTAATACCTCTGTTTCTTTCTACTTCAAACCCTTTCATTTCCTTTAAAAAAAATACAAAGAAGCACGTATTTAGCAGCTCTTTCATGTCTTCACTAACCCAATCTCAAGGTTTCTTCATATACTTTCTTCTACTAAAGGCTTTATGAAATCTGGCTGTGTCTCCTTTTTCTCCCTTTTTAAGTCCCTGGCACTTAGTATAGGCCCAGCACATTTCAAGGAGTGTTTATTTGCTGACTAACCAAAAAATAAAATAAAAGACAACTGTACCAGGTTGTATTCATTTCTTATTGCTATAGTAACAAATTAGCATAAACTTAGTGGATTAAGACGTATTATCTTCTAGAAATGGGAATCAGAAATCTACAGTGAGTCATACTAAACTGCAGTCCAGACAGCAGCACTGTTTCTTTTGAGGTGGGGAGCAGGGGGTAGACAACTGTTTATTGCCTTTTCCAGCTTTCCAGAAGCTATCTGTATCCCTTGGCTTGGTGACTGAGTCTTGCAACAGCAATACTTCAAACTCTGCTTCTATTTGTAGAGTTTTCTCAAATAACTGCCAACCTGTTTTCTTCCTTGCTGGCAATTAGATGAACTATTTCCATCTCTAAGTTACTCTCATCTGGAAAGGTACTTTTAACAAAGGAAGGTTATGAGAATAAAGATATGGACAGCTTTGAGATGTCATTATTCAGCCTACTACACCTATCAATTTCTTTTTAAAGTCTATCCAACAAATAACTAAAAATAACTCACAAAAATATTTAGGAATTAATGATATTTCCCAGACCAGAGTTGCCCGCTTCCACTATCATCTTTTGCCATTTTTGCAAAAGCATTTGTCTTTGGTTTAGATTTAATCAAGTTATAGAATCTGTTAAACAAAGAGACTAGAACACACATACTTAAAAGGTTCCTCGATCCTAGATTCAAAATAATCTCTTTTAAAAAAAAGATAATCTCTTGGCCCTGGTCTACACCTAATATCTATGACTGGATCTAGAACTAAATAGCATTGGGGGGGGAGGGGAACTTTAACAGAATTAAGCATATTCATTTTATTGGTGGCTCAAACAGAATCTTAAAACATTTCTAAAAGGGTACTAAAACTATTTTAGAAGCAAAATTAAGTGCCCTACAACAAATACTTCAACAATTTATATTTCTTTAGAAACTAGGTCTGGTATCAAACTCAATTCTTTTTTTGCCTCAATGCCCTAAATTCTGGAATTACAGGTATTAGCATCATGCTTAACCATGAATTTTCAGTGACTTCTTTCACTTCTACATAATCTTGAATATAATCACTACTATAATAAAAAGTACATACAATGTTCACTCAACATGTTAACTTGCTATAGCGTATTGTACCTATTTTTAAATTTTCTTTTTTTTATCCTTTGGTTTTTCTAGATAGTTTTCTCTGTGTAGCCTTGGCTGTCCTGGACTCACTTTGTAAACCAGGCTGGCCTCAAACTCACAGAGATCCATCTGCCTCTGTCTCCCTGAGTGCTGGGATTAAAGGAATGCGCCACCATGCCCAGCTTGTACCTATTTTTTTTCTTGTTGATGGTTTTGTTTTGATTTGATTTTCAGTAGCATTTTTAGTTTAGTTTACAGACTCTAGCTGGAGTTGCTAGATGTCTAAGTGTAGCTCTGTTGGCAGAGAAGTTCACTCCCCCAAAATCCAATAAACTGGACATGGTGGCACATGCCTGTAATCTGAGCTCTTGGGAAGTGGAGGCAGGAAGCTTAAAAGTTGAAGATCATTCTCAGCTACATAGTAAATTTGGGGCTAACCTGGAATATGTCAGACCCTGTCTTAAATAAATTATAATAAACTTCCTATTCCAAATACTTAAATTCCAATCTATCTGAATGGCAACCAGCAGCACTTTATAACAGGTAGAACTCCCGCGCTTAAATTTAGAATTTAAACAATAGCAACCTATATCTAGTGACTGTCTTTATTCAGTCTTAATTTGTGGGTTTGTTTGTTGTTGGTGGTTTTCTTGCTGTTGTTTTGAAGTAGGGCCTTATGTAGCCCAGGCTACAGTCAAGAATGATCTTGAACTTCAGATCTTCCTGCTGCCACCTGCTGCCACCTCGCTAGTACTAGAATTACAGACATGTGCCACCATGTTTGGTATATATGGTGCTAAGTTTGAATCCAAAGCTTTGCTCTTGCATGCTAAGGTAAGTGCTGTACCAAACTGAGCCATATTCCCAGTCCTAATCTTAACTTTAAGCATCCCATATAAATGCTGATCCTTTTTTCATGAGTTGACTGAAATTATCAAGGCTTGTTCTCCTTATATTTTACCTACATCTGCTTGGAACCATTCTCATTATAATACCTTATATTCTGTTCTGTTAATATTTGTTAATAATATTACATAAAAACGTCTATCACAGAATAAAATATCTTTTAATTATTCTTTTTTTTTTATTACTCCTCTCTAAACATACTTGAGCTAACTAACCTCTGTACATTCTGGTGATTTCAGTTTGCTGTAATTTCAAAGACCTGAGGGTAGAATATCAATAGTTTTCAAAGAGTCAAGAAAAATCTTTCCTATTTGGAAAAATATCATATGAACTTTACATGTTATGATAAAGGTAGATATCATACTCAATACACTTTTATATACACTTAACTATGTAGTGTAACAATCAAGCAATGAGACATATACACTCATTCCTTAAAATAAGATGTTAGGGAGAACTTGGGGGATTCCTAAAGCTAATAAAAAATTTTCCCAAAGAATGTCATAATACAGACTTTTTTTCTTTAAAACAGGTAAAGACAGGAAGCATGGTAGGTATATGGCTATGTCCCTAGCACTACAGAGGTTGAGATAGGAAGAACATCAGATTGAATGCAGCCTAGGCTACATGAGAATTCAGGGCCAGTTTGGGTTATAGACCATCTCAAAAAATGATAAATGTAAAGCAAAAATTAGTTGTATTTCCAAGGCTAGGTATTTTTATAGACCACTGGTAGAATGTTTGCCTAGCATGTACAAGACCCACAATTTGATCTTTACAATTACAATATAAATAAATGAATGAATGAACTGAATACAGGGAAAAGGTGGGGTATAACTCAATGGCAGAATATTTGTATAAGGCTCTGAGTTTATTCCCAGCACTGCAAAAAATAAAAATAAAACTGGGCTGGAAATATATCTCATTGGTAGACTAATAGCCTAGCATGTAAAGGCTCTAAATTTCATCCTCAGGAGGAGGAGAAGATAATCTTTTAAAAGTTTGGCATCAGTTCCTAACAGGATCTAGACAAGAACATCATTTCTAGAGGATGGTAGAAGGGCTCTTCACTCTCTTCATCTTAGATCCTTCTGGAGGTTGGGATAGCTAAATTTGGAATTAATAAAGCCAAGAAAATTATATACTCACCTGTAGTTCACACCAAGCAACTTCAACCCATGTTTCAGTGTCCAGTCCTTTATAAACGGTTTTAAATGCTCCTCTTCCCAGTTCTATATCAAATTTCAGAAACCTGCCACTAGGGGAAGTTGCTACAGCCTTCATTTCTGCTTCTTCCTCCATTTCCTTTTCATTTTTCTCTTTGAAGCAATCTTTTGAGGATTCTGAAGTTGCCTTTGAACACTGATCATATTTAACTTCTTGCCCACCTCTTAGCACATTGGTAGGAAGTTTATCTACTCTTGAAATATTTGTTGCAGCTTTTATTCTTTCATCTCTGGGGGAAGATTTGGCAACTTTGTCATCTTCCGTCATCTCAACACTCTTTCGGAAAAATCTCTTTCTTTCAACGGTTTCCTCGGGAGCAGAGGAGGTACTGTTTTTTTCCTTTATTCTAGCTTCTATAGTCAATGGTGCTGCAACTTGGGTAACCCTATTTTCAAAGGAAACTCCATCAGGTTTCTCAGAATCTTCTGTGCTAGCCGGCTCCCCAGAATCAGTGGCCATTGTAACTAAGGTTGGCACTAAACTTTTTCCTGTTTCACTCTTCAGCCACTTACATCTCAGGTATCAGAATTATGAGAAGACACTTCCTTTCATGTGGTCATATAATCCCACAGCAACCTGAAGGAGGGAAAAGAGATAGTTTTAAAATCACCCTACAACAGAAATCATTAAGGAGAAAACAAGTCTCCTGATTGTTAGTTGCTTCTTTCTTAATAAAAATTTTATTCTTGTTTCTGTACAAATTAACAACTCAAGAGTCCAGGGACTATGCCTCATCTTCTTTAATACAGCTACAGTAACTAGTGTAGCAGTTGGCATATAGTCCAATATCTTCATATGCAGGAACCTAGTTCTCAGCTCATCTCAATCCACCAAATTCAATACAGATGCCCAAATCCTGAGTTCACTTAGCTATACCTAGTAAGTGAAAATACCACATGATTTTCATAAGACTATTGTCTAAGATTATGAATTCATCTAATATTTGTTTCTTTAATTTGTGGTTATATATACATACATACATATATACATACATATAACTATTTTAAATGTCTAGTTCCATGGCATTAATGCATTCACAATTTAATTAGCATTACTTCTTAAAATGTTTATTATTTGTGTGAGTTAGTTCTCTCCTACTTTCATGTGAGTTCCAGAGACTAAACTCAAACTGTCTGCATGACAAGTACTTTATACACTGAGCCATCTTGCTGGCCTAATATCACTTCAGTCCATTCCCAAAACAATATCATCTTAAACTGAAAATGTATACTCATTATAGAAAAAATTCCTATCGAGCTGAGTGCCATGGAATGCACCTATAGTCCTAGTTCCTCAGGAAGCTGAAGGTAGAGAATCACCTAAGCCCTGTGAGTTCCAGGCCTATTTGGACAAAAAAACAAAACTAATTTCTAAAACAGAAGAAAAGTAGTTTTTAGGAGATGCTCACTAGCAGAGTACATGCTTGAATGTACAAAGTTCTGTGTAGGACTGCCAGAACTACAAAAAGAAAAGTATTGCCCATATCCACCCCCAAACTTCCATTCAACTCTCTATTTCTGAATTTACTTATTCTACATAATTCATGTAAGTGGACACATACAGTATTTGTGTCTGTCTTATTTCATTTGGCATAATATGTTCATTTCTTTTTAAGAATGGCTAATAAATACATAAAATATTTAGTATCTCTAGTCACCAAGAAAATTAAAATCAAAACTATATCAAAATTCCATTTCAAAATTCCAGGAAAAGTGACTATCATCAAGAAAACACAAAACAGGTCAGAGAGATGACTCAGCAATTAAGAGCATTTACTGCTCTTAGAGAGGATCTAGGTTCAGTTTTTCCCAACATCCACATGGTAGCTCACAACTCTTTGTAACTCCAGTTTTGGGGGTTCCAAAATCTCTGTTGACCTCTCTGGACTCCTGCACCAGTGTGGTAAGCACACATACACTCAGGCACACACATATAAACCAAAATAAATACATCTTTAAAAACAAGAAAATTCAAGACAAATTATGAACATAGGGAATTTAAATTAGTCCAGCTACTATGGAACTTAATACACTGGTTTCTCAAAATATTAAAAATAGAACTACCATATGATCCAACTATAAAACTTCTGGTATATATAAAAAAAATCAAAGTCAGCTTACTCTATACAAGGCATGTTGATGTACACTTGTAAAATCAGTATTTAGGATGGAGGCCAGCCAGGGCTACATAGTGAGATTTTCTAAAATATACAAGGGAGGAAAAGATGGAAGGAAGGTGGGACTACACAGTTCTAGGAAACCAAGATGACACAGTAAGACATTGACTCAAAAAAAAGGTGGTGAGCAATTAAATAAGACAATGCACATCTACTTCTGTTTTCCACATGCACGTGTACATGAATATACACATATCATATAAACATACAAAGAATTCAATAATCAGACAAAACTTTTGTATAGTTTAGATATAGTGATATAAATATTAAAATAATAAAGAAAGAGGCTGGTAAAATAGCTCAGTGGACATGTGAGCACACATGTGGAAATCAGAAGACAATTTGTTGAAATCGGTTCTCTTCTGCCCCAAGAGCATGCTGGGGATTGAACTCAGGTTGTCAAACTTCACAGCAGATACTTTTACTCACTGAACCATCTCCCCATCCCCTGAACTTTCTTTTATAATCATTTATTAAATTATATGTATAAATTAGTAAGGGTTGAAGAGATGGCTCATAGGTCAAGAACACTGGCTACTCTTCTAGAGAAAATGAGTTCAATTCCCAGCACCCACATGGTGGCTCACAATAGTCTGTAACTATAGTTCCAGGAGATCTAACCCCCTTTCCTGGCCTCTGTGGGCACCAGGCACACATGTGGTGCACTGACAAACATACATGCAGAAAAAATGCTTATACAAATAAAAAATTTTAAACTACACAAATAAATTGTATACATTATTTTTTTCTGAATGTATATTTCACAAGTGGAATGCCTTAGGTTTCTATGGCTATGATAAAACACAGTGACCAAAAGCAACTTGGGGATGAAAGGATTTAGTTCATCTTATACTTCCAGGTACCAGTACACTGTTGAGGGAAGTCAGGACAGAAACTCAAGTAGGACAGAAACCCCTGATACAGGAACTGATGCAGAAACTATGAACGGGTGCTGCTTATTGTCTTACTACCCACAGCTTGCTCAACCTGCTTTCTTAAACAGTTCAAAATCGCTGGTACCACAAACACTGAATATCAGTCAGTCAGTCAGTCAGTCAATCAGTCAATCAGTCAATCAGTCAATCAATCAATCAAGGAAACGCAACACAAGATTGCCTCCAGGCCAAAGGTTCTCTCCTTTCAGATGATCGTAGCTTGTGTCAAGTTGACAAAAAATATATAAAATACAATACAATAAAATTAAATTAAAATTAAAAAAAGTACCAAAAAGGGGTTTTAAAAAACCCCTTTAATAGGGGCTAAAGAGATGGTTCAGTGGATAAGAGCACTGTCTGCTCCTCCAGAGGTCCTCAGTTCAATTCCCAGCAACCACATGGTGGCTCATAACCATCCATATTGGAATCTGATGCCCTCTTCTGGTATGCAAACCCATATGCACACAGAACACTCATACAAAAAGTCTTTTTTTTTTAAAGCATAATAATGAATATTAAATACTTTCTAAGAAGATTTGCTATATACTGACTACGTATGTTTTTTTAATATATTTTGCTTTATAACAAACAAATTTAAGTAAAGGGTCTTTTGCTAATTGGGCCACTTACTTGACATCAATATATCAAAAATTACTGACCAGGGACTAGTTTTAAGGATAGCTCCAATAAATTTATCTTGGTTTTACATGATAGTTCTGATATAACATCCAATTCTGAATCTTGTTCAGTTTGACATTAGGGAATATGTTCTAAATAATTCCCACAAATGAGAATATGAGAGCATAATGTATATTTTGGTAAATATTCTAGTACATTCAACCTAAAATTTTATCAGAGAACCATACTTCTCACCCTCCATGAAAGTCCATTCAAAATGGATCAAAGAATTTAAAAATAAGACTTGCTGCTGGGCAAGGTGGTGCACAACTGTAATCCCAGCACTCAGGAGGCAGAGGCAGGCAGATCTCATCGAGTTAGAGGCCAACCTGATCTACAAAGTGAGTCCAGAACAGCCAAGGCTACACAGAGAAATACTGTCTCGAAAAACAAACAACAAACAAAACAAAAACAGAAAAAGACTTAAACTGCTAGAAAAGATTTAGGTAAAACACATTACAATATAGTTACAGGCATATATTTTTTGAAAAGGTGTTCAACAATATAAATAACCAGGAATTTATAAATTATATTGCATGAAATTAAATACCTTCTGCCCAGCAAAGGAAGCAATCACTAGAGTTGAAGAGACAACCTACAAAAATGGAAAAAGAAATTGAAATTTTTGTACTAATACATCATACAGTAGAGTAATACCTACAAAAACTACCCCCAAAATCTCAATCATCCTAATAGTGTAAACAGTTTTACTTCCTCTTTGACAGACTTTATTTATCTTTTTAAGGTTTATACTAGTATTGAGTTTTCTAACAAATTCAAGACGCATAGGTAGCTTGCTCAGATCAAACCAAACGGCTCCAGCAATGTTCTGCACTAAGTACCTTCTGTAACAGCAGCAAGTCTCCATGGCCTTCTAGACCACTAAGCAGTTTAGTGATGGGTTTACTGAAAGCCATTCTGGACAGTTTTGCTTTTTTTTTTGTTTCCATAAAAATGATTTGTGACTGCTTTATAAGTGACATTTGCGTTAGCCCTATCCAGAAAGTGATTCTGAAGCCATGAGCTTCTAAGTGTCACAGAGCTTGGGATTTAGAAGTGGGTCAGTATTTAATATAGGATAAACATACTAAAATCTGTACACCTAAAGAAGCTAAGCAAGAAGGAGAACCCTGGGTACGATGATCAATCCTCACTCTGAAAGGCAAATGGAATGGACATCAGAAGAGGGAGAAAACAATGAACAAGACAAGAGCCTACCACAGAGGGCCTCTGAAAGACTCTACCCAGCAGAGTCAGATGCTGAGGCTCATAGCCAAACTTTGGGCAGAGTACAAGGAATCTTATGAAAGAAGATCTGGAGGGGACAGGAGCTCCACAAGGAAAGCAACAGAGTCAAAATATCTGGGCCCAGGGGTCTTTTCTGAGACTGATACTCCAAGCAAGGACCATACATGGAGATAACTTAGAACCCCTGCACAGATGTAGCCCATGGCAGTTCAGTGTCCAAGTGGGTTCCATAGTAATGGGAACTGGGACTATCTCTGACATGAACTGATTGGTCTGCCTTTTGATCACCTCCCCTGAGGTGGGGGGTGATCTTACCAGGCCACAGAAGAAGACAATGCAGCCACTCCTGATGAGACCTAATAGACTAGGATCAGAAGGAAGGAAAAGAAGACCTCCCCTATCAGTGGACTTGGGGAGGGGCATGGGTGGAAAAGGGGAGGGTGGGACCAGGAGGGGAGGAGGGAGCTACAGGGGAATACAAAATGAATAAACTGTAATTAATAAAAATAAAAAAACATTATGGAAGTATGAATTCAACATTTTTTGCTTTCATCTGATGGATAATTAAGAGTCCAATGACAACCTTCAGAAATTGGCCAACAAGATTGTGCTACTAAAGACACATCTGTGTTTAATACTAAGAGCTAAGAATGAAACTAAGAATCTATAAAGTGCTTTGTCAAGGTAGATTGCCAAATCAATATAGTTCCATTGTCACTTAATAAGATTACTATTTCCTGAAAGTGAAAATAGGTAGAGGTTCTTTTTTTCTTTTTTATACCTACTTACTCTGTGTGTGCACACTTCAGTGGCCCATGACAGGGCTTATAAATTGAGCTCAGAGACAACTTTCAAGAGTCTCTTCTCTCCCTTTGCCATGTGGGTCCTAGGAGCAGACTCGGGGCTGTCAGATTCAGTAGCAAGCACTTTTACCCAGGAAGCCATCTCACTGGCCTGACAGTTTTTCCCTTTAACTTCTTATTTTGAAATATTTTTTAACTTGGGAAATAACTTGCAAGAATACACAAAAATTACAGTACAACATTCACCACATTCCCCAAATGCTAACATTTTAAACGATGTGTTTTTATAGTAAGAATAATGATACTTATTTATTTTCACCTAAATGTCACTCATACAGAAGCTTCAAGATGAGAAATTCAGAAGACAGACTTCTAAGCAGCCAGAACTAGGTAAAGTTATATGATTCTTAACAAAAACCTTCACATTTCTTTCAAAAACTGAAATCCTAACCAGGCAGTGGTGGTACACACCTTTAATCCCAGTACTCAGGAGGCAGAGGCCAGCCTGGTCTACAGAGCTGGTTCCAGGACAGCCAGGGCTACACAAAGAAACCTTGTCTCAGAGGAAAAAAAAAAAAACTGAAATCCTAAGAAAATGTGGTAGTGCATGACTGTAATGCTAGCACTCCAAGGTAAAAGCAGCAGGAGAATGAAGATTTTAAGCCACCCTTAGCTACATGAGACTCTATAAAAAACAAAAAAGAAAACATTGAAATTCTGCTGGACATGGTGACACATACTTGTAATGCTCATGAGCAGAAAGGTGCTGCCAAATAATCCTGAGTCAAAGGTCAGCTGAGAATATAGACAAGATGCCGTTCTTAGAAGCATTTTCTAAATGAAATCCCTGCATGTCTTGTAATCCCAGCTACCCAGAGGCTGAAACAAAAGGATCAAAACTGCAAGACCAGCCAGGACAACATAGCAAGACCCTGTTCTAAAATAAAAAGTTGAAAAGGGCTGGGGTTCTAATTCTGAAATAGAGCAATGCCCTAGCATGTGAGAGGCCCTGAATCCAATCCTCGGTACTCAGAAAAACCCTCTGAAATCTTTTTAATACTCAGAAATATTAGACTTTTTAATCATATGAATGTTTTGCCTGGTGTACCTATGTGCACTATGTATGTGCCTGGTGCCAGTAGAATTCAGAAGACAGCAACAGATCCCCTGGAACCAAAGTTATGGACAGTTGTGAGCTACTATGTGGCTACTTGGAACTGAGCCCAGGTCTTCTGAAAGAGCAGTGAGTACTGTGAGCCACTGAACCATTATTCCAACCCCCAAAACTCTGAAATTGTGATTTAAAAAAAAAAATCTTTATTTTATGTGTATAGTTGTTTTGTCTCCATATATGGCTATGCATGCCATTTGCCCTCAGAGGCCAGGAGAAAGCATCAGATCTTCTGGAACTGTAATTACAGATGATTATAAGTTGCCACATGGTCAAACCAGATCCTCTGAAAGAGCAGCCAGTTCTCAACCATCTAGCCATCGCTCCAGCCCCCAGAACACTAAAATCTTATTCAGGTTCTAATATATTTTTAAAAGCCCAATTCCCTGATATCAAATACTAGAGGCAAAGGGATATTTTATGAGGAAACAATTATAAGCCTATACACACATATATTTAACAACCATGATCCCTTAATACATGAAATAAAACCTAACAAACTAAAGAGAGGACCAAACAGATCAGTAACAAAGTATTTGGACAATACTATCAAACAACATGACCTAGATGACATCTGTGAAACATTCTCTTTAAAATTTTTTTCTTGGATTATTTTCAAGCATAGATGAGACATCTTTAGAACACGTCATATGCTATGCAGTGAAACCAGTATTAATAAAATATGTTCTCTTCTATAACAAAACAATTCAGTTAGGGGATGTAGCTTAGCTGGCAGAGTGCTTGGCTAGCATGAAGGAAGCCCTGAGTTTAAGCCCCAGTACCACATTAATTAGGCATGGTGATGCATGCCTGTAATCTCAGGACTTGAGATATGGAGGCAAGATGAAGCATTTAAAGTTATTTCTCTACCTAGAGAATTGAAGACCACCAGCCTTGGCTGCATGAGCAGGGGGAAGAAAGGAAAGGAAGGCAGGCATGCTAAGGAAAAATAATTAAATTAGAAAATTAGCACCAAAATAACAATGAACACAGAGCTAAATGGAAAAATTAATGAAAGACTAAATGTACGCCTTAATGTCTCTTCTCAGATGATTTTCAACAAAGGAACTAAGACTATTCAATGGATAAATGGCAGTGTTTTCAGCTAAAGGTACAACTCAAATCAGTATGTGTAAGAATATAATTGGACCCCTATCCCACATCATGCACAGAAATTAGTTCAGAGTGGACCACAGACCTAAGAATAAGAACTAAAACTATAAAGCTCCTAGAAGAAAACACCAGAATAAATCTCAGTTATCCTGGACCAGGCAAAATTTCCCAGCTGTAACAACCAAACATAGTATCAATAAAAGAGAAAACTATTAAGAGGCTACAGCAGGCCAACCATGAGTTGACAGCCAGCCAAAACTAAATAAAGACCAGTCTGAGTTACATAGCGAGAATGTGTCTTGAAAAAGAAACCAGGATGGCTGGAAAGAGGGCTTACTGGTTAAAAGCACTGGTTACTATTCCAGAGGACACAGGCTCAGTTTCACATGGCATTCACATGGCAGCTCACTGGAGTCTGAAACGCCACTTCCCCAGAATCCAATTCTCTCTTTGGCTTCCTCCAGCACCAGGCATGCACATGGTACAGACATACACACAGATAAAACACTCATACATATAATAAAGAACATGCAGCTAAGTGTTTCTTATCTGTAGTTTTACTTTCACAATTTCAATCACATTCAGTAAAATGTAGTCCAAAAGTAATAGTAAATTCTGGGAATAAAGCCAGGTATGGTAGCACAAACCAAAATCCCAGTAATTGGAAGGCTAAATCAGGAGGATTGCAAGTTGAGTCTAGCATAGGCTACATTATGAAACCTCTAAAAAGACCCACAAACAAACAAAAAGGAGGGACATGGGTGACATGCGTGAGTGGTAAAGGTACTTGCCACCAAGCCTGACAATCTGAGTTCAAGCCCCAGAACCCACATGGTAGAAGGAGAGAACTGACTCCCAAAAGTTTTCCTCTCACCTCCAAAGCGTGTGCTAGTGCCCACACAAGTAAATAATGTAATAAAAGTTTAAAAAATTCCAGGAAGAAGCAAAATAACTACATTTATATAAATTTATTATAGCATTGTCTTACTTTCTACTGCTGTGTTAAAGTGCCACAACTAAGCAATTTATGCAGGAAAGGGTTTCTTTGGGCTTACCGTCCCAAGATAAGGATCTATTATGGTAAGGCAGAGCAGCAGCAAGCAGCAGACTGAGATCACATCTCAATCAGGGAAGCAGAAAGAACAAACTTGCAATGGTGGAGCCTTTTGAGCCTCAAAGTCCACCCTTAGGGGCAAGGCATACTTCCTCCAAAAAGGCTCTTACTCCTCCCACAAAAACCCACCAAATAAGGATCAAGTA